GTCGTAGCAGCCCTCCTGGAACAGTTTGGTGTGGTGGTGAAAACGGGTGCAGTTCGACATCCTCAATCACAAGGAGGGGTTGAACGGCTCAACCGTACGATCATCGGTCTCCTGCGTAAGGCGCTCGAGGAAACCAGTGACTGGACGTCTGAGCTTGAGTTGGTTCTGTTCTACTACAATAGACGTCGCCATGCTCCAACCGGAATACATGTATCGCCAAGGCTGGCCATCACGGGCTGGGAAGGGCGCGACCTAGTAATTGATCACGACCCGACAGCATACAGCGCCAGTGAATGGGTGGACCGACTCGCCGGGCGCGCTGCTCGGATTCGAGACCTTGTTGAGTCGCTACTGTCCTCGAATGACTCTGTGTCAGGCGGTCCAACAGAGTCACCATACAGTGTCGATGATCCGGTGATGCTACGTCGCCCAGAGCGGAGTCAGAAGCTCATGACGCCATATGAGAGTGGCTGGACGGTGCTGAAGATAGTCTCGCCATCGACCCTGGTGATCCAGCATGCTGACGGCAGAGAGAAGGTCGTGAACGTTGATATCGTCAAGCCTGGACACGCCCAGCAGGTAGATGGAACACTAGATGATGGTAACCATGATGCTGCCGAAGATCGCCCAGAGCCAGCTGCCTGTGATAATGTGGTGAGCATCGAGTTTGCGGCTGACATGCCGACTCAGCGCTACGATCTCCGAGGCCCTGGTAATCGACGACAGCCAGCTAGATACAGTGGATGATCAATGGCACCTAGGGGAGTGGTGTTATGAACTGCTATATTAGGTGCCTTATGACTCTTGTGTCACAATGTATGTTGCTATGCATGCTGTGTCCACGCTCATCCATGCGCGCGCCTCTGCTTTATGTGTACACGCTCACCCATGCGCGCGCCTCTGCTTTATGTGTGCACCTCTCATTCTGTGCATGCGTCTAGCCACGTGCTTAGCTGCGCTGCATATATGTCATGTCGCCGGAAAGGCGCGACTGGTCCGCGATCTGCAGTGATGCGTACCTTCCATTGTTTTTGTCGGCTTTCAGTTTTTCTTAGTTTTTGTCAGCTGTGTAGTTGCACTTCTTTCTCAGATTGCATGCTCGTCTTTCTGTACTTCAGTAGTTGAGTCGATCCTTTAGTTCAGAGTGCTTCAGTCTGGTTCTATGTCTCTTCCAATTCTCTTGTAAATAATTCATTCCCTAATCCGAAGTGTTGCGTTAGTGCTATCTGGTCGAACGTGGGTTCCACTACAATGTCCAGGATATCACTGGGCTCGGTTCTAAATAATTTTTCTTTCTTCGATCTCGTAATGAATAATAAGTGGATCTACGGGGGGGGGGGGGGGGGGGGGGGGGAGGGGGTCTATCCGGATGAATACATGTTTAGCGTAATGTCCGGAGTGCGGCTTGTGAAGTTGTGTTATCTGTTTGGGGTGCTAGTGGCAGCAGTCAGATAAAATCATGCATGCACCGACTGATATGATTGTACGCGCGCTACACTATGGACAATAAAATACACTTACTACTCCCTGCTACAGACCGTGTCCAGGTACTACCATGACTACTACTGGTACTAGTACTAGTAGTAGTAGTACAAACAAAGTAGTACTGCTGAGTGCTGTAGGTGGCCGTGAGGTTTGTCACGTGAGTGATGACGCGTGTGTTATCAAAAGCCTTTTTGCAAATTTTGGCCATTTGCGCTGAAAAAAAACAAGGACTAAAAAAACAAGAGCACCTCGATCTCGCCAGATCTACCAGCTAGCGCTAGCGTGTTGTTATGCCAAGGTTAATTAAAGGGGAAGTTAAGGCAAAAATTAAAATTTCACCAGTTGTAGTCTTCGGGGTGCTGAGTCGAATGGTCGTGGTCCGAGGAAGCTGAGACGCTCCCTTCCTACTTGAATCCCAATCGAACTCGCGCACTTCCACCGAAACTGGGTGACTGCGCCCTACTAGATGGGGATTTGTATGCAAAATGTCACTAAAAGCGCCATTTCGTTCTTATCAAAGCACGGATGACCGCGATTGGCCCATATGTTGTAGTCTTTTGGACGCTGAGTCGACTGGTTTTGGTCCGAAAAGGCTGCGATGCGGCGTTCCTCCTTTATTCCCAATCGAACATGGTTGAAGAAGTGGTCACGTGCTCCTGCGTACACCAGTCACCTGGTCACCGTGCCTGCAGGGTACAACTTACTAGCCTGTTTGACCTTTTTTGGGTGCAGTCCTGCCACTCGAGTTGAACTCGAGTTGAACCTTGGTGTGAAAGTTGTCACCTGCTGGCGTGGTGACCAGGTGATTTGGGCACCCAGGAGCACGTGACCGCTTGTTCAACCATGTTCGATTGGGAATAAAGGAGGAACGCTGCATCGCAGCCTTTTCGGACCAAAACCAGTCGATTCGGCGTCCAAAAGACTACAACATATGGGCCAATCGCGGTCATCCTTGCTTTTATAAGAACGAAATGGCGCTTTTAGTGACATTTTGCATACAAATCCCTATCTAGTAGGGCGCAGTCACCCCGTTTCGGTGGAAGTGCGCGAGTTCGATTGGGATTCAAGTAGGAAGGGAGCGTCTCAGCTTCCTCGGACCAAGACCATTCGACTCAGCACCCCGAAGACTACAACTGGTGAAATTTTAATTTTTGCCTTAACTTCCCCTTTAAAAAGGACTTAGTGGCACTCGCTGGTTTATATCATCAGTTGAAGAATATTCCTTATCCTGGCGTCGATCGCTGAGAAGGTGCACTAGTATTGGCTACTGACGTGCATAATAGTTTGTTACATTCACAACAGTGTTGCTGTGGTAATCTGCGCAGTGCTGAACACCTCTATTCACTGTGCAACTGTATCATACCGCTACCAAAACTTACTGGGGTAAGAGAATTATGTATGTACAAAAAGGAAGATGAATGTTGAAGAAACAATAGTTGCCTGCCGGGCTGAGACCGCTGAGTGCGTTCGAGTTTTCCGGATTTCAATGGGCGCTTTCCATTACACGTTTGCACAATTCTGGAACTGGGTTTTGTACTTCTCGAATGACAAGAATGTGCGTATTCCGGCCATGTAAACGAACGACCAGAATTCACAACGCATTTTATTCATGGCATATGATATCACAAACAAAATTGATCGTAAAAAGAGATCAGGTACACCCTGGCGCGCACGTAGACCCAGCTTCGCGTACCGGACTACCGGTCCATCCCGGTGATCGTGAAGGCTCCATGTCGGCAACAATATTGGGCTTCGGTAAAGCTGAACCTGTGTGCGAAAGGACCACCCAAAATGATCTGTTCTAACAATCAGCCCCCAGCGGAAACTCAACTGTTGCAAATAGGTTTTCGGGAAGACATAAGACAGTAGCAACTACTGTAAAAGCCATTATTCTAACGAGGCGCATATATAACGATTTCCCAAAATCGACTGGTTTACGTGTACCAAAGGTAACGATTCTCACCTATTCCCAACGCTCATTAGGACAGTATATGTATCGATTTCTATTTTAACGACAGATTTCTCCTCGTTAACTCGTTAGAGTTAGGACTTCGTTATATATATGGCTTTTACAGTACATGCAGTTGTAGCCCTGCTTTCGCGCCACACCGACCAGGGAGGCTCTTCCTTGACCTGAGTCATGCATGACCAGACCGATAACACACCCAGCGTGCAATTCTGGCGCCAGAACTAGAGAAATCCCGCCTTCTCTTCAGAATTGATGGAATTGGATAAATTCAATTCTAACGACGGAATTTGTGTAATCGAACTGTGCGTCAACAATGAACTAATTCTAGAATTGACTGATTTGAGTGTAATCGAACGCGCACAATGTGGCAATGTCATACTGTGTTGTGTATCGGATATGCATAATCTTACCACCCTATCCGACCTTTCGGCCGACGAAAAAATCGAGAGGTTTAACAACTCCTAAAACTACATGTAGTAGAGAACGAGTACGCCGGGGTACATGTTGGTAACTCGTTTACCCATCCTTAGTTAGGCCAAATTGCCAGGGAATTTCGATGTGGTTGACTGAAGTTTGTTTTCGAGTCAAACAACACGTGTACATGTAGTTATAAACTGATTGAAGTGATCTTTTGCATTTTACTGAAAAAACCCAAAAGCAGTTTTACGAATCATGTCCTTCGTGACTGATCTGATTGAGGCAGTAAGTGTTGGTGACTGAAATCTGGTCCATGTAAGTCAGCTAGTACTGGACACTGTGCAGCTGTAGACCTTCCAACATTGGGTTGTGGACTGCAGTATGGAAATGTATTATTCATGATCCCGGATTTCATCATGTCTAGCACTGCGGCTGTAGATATTGTGTACAGTTGCATGTAGTATCTGATCTGTTGTATGTTGTGTGTATGTGTGTATGTGTGTATGTGTGTGTGTGTGTGTGTGTGTGTGTGTGTGTGTGTGTGTGCGTATTTTGCCGCACTGTGTGTTATTCTCTACAGACCGTCAGTACGTAGTCTTCTGACAAATTCTCAGTAATCCACACAATACACTGTTCGCTATACACCCGTGTACTACTGAATATACAACATCACCAGGAGAACATGTTTGCTTCAAAGTTACATGGCAATCTCAAGACTGTCAGTAAGTTTGTTCAGCGTGGTTATGCTGTGAGTGTACAGAGCCGGTTAGTCCAGTCAACCAGCGGATCAAGGTTATGTGTTGCTAGTAAGGTGACTCAGACATCAGCACAGTCCAGGCAGTCAGTTAGGTGGAGATCAGATCAGTCTGGTCGTCAAGTCACTACAGTACATGATGCTGTTAATGCCATTGATTCAATCTTTCATAGCATTTTCAAGACACGCAGATTTATACCCAATGATCTGATATCACAATGTTCTCTCATCCAACGTCATGTTACTGAACTTAGGAGTCCGAACAAGGTTAGAACTATCCTCCATGCATGCGCTCTCATCAGTGAGGAGAACACTAACTTGACCACGCTGGCAGTGTCTGGACTTAATCAACTAGCCAGTCTACCCACTGATGTCTGGCAAGACAACAGGAATCAAGAGCACCTGAGATGGGCAGTTTACTGGGCCGCGAAGTGTCGATGTTCAACTCCAGGATTCACAAAGTTACTACAACAGCAGCTTGATGTCATGTGCATTGAGGAATGTAGAGATGTTGTTCAGTGTGCATATGCATTGTTTAAGTTGAATATGCCTGATCGTCACCTGGCCCAACACTTGACGAATCGCTACATTACCATACAGAGTACAGGTGATCCAAAGTATCGTCATACTGAAGTACTCTCACTACTTCTCTACTGCACACTGTGTGGTGTAGAGTGCAGTGCCTTGCTGAAGCTGATCAGTGTTGATCATCTGATACAGAGTAAGTCTATTCTGGAATAAGACCTATTGAATAGAGACTTGTGTCTGTTGGTTGTGGAATTTCTGCTCACGCGGAGTTACAAGTGACATTCATACCACAAACCTCTGTAGTAATCGTCCTTGGTGTCTCAGAGTTGAAACCAAGTGTTGTTTTAGACGGAAAGAGAAACGATCTCAGTTTATGGTTTTTGCTACACAATATTCTGCAAGTGCAGATTTGCTTTCACATACATACTATGATGATGTATGTTGTAAATTGATCATAATTCAACTTGGGTTTTTAAAATAAAATCATGATGGCAGGATTATAGGTATGATTTTGAATCATGCAGTTGGACAGTCTGGAGCCATTCCAAACTTGTGTTAGTATTTCAGCAATCAACTACATTCTAGTGAAATGGGTGGGGCATCCTGCAACTAAACAGTACAATTGGAAGTTTTGAGCACACCTGCCTTATTCCTCAGCACTGCGAAATCGCACTTCAGTCCACTGTATCAGTTTCGACATTTCGACAAATTGCTATCACCAGAATGCAGTGCAATATGCGATATGCATCCTGATGATGTTTGGAAACAGGTCAGACAGTATAAACTTGTGTGTACTTCAAGAAGTATGTGCACCAAATTTGTAACTCACACACCAACAAAAATTCATCCAGTGTTGTTCCCCTGATTGTGTGTGTTTTACAGGAAGTAGGCTGTTGGCATGGAAATGACAAATGGATCACTTTCTGATGTCATCGATCTTTGATTTTTCATTTACACATCCTAAAGTATATCTGTTGGTACGTGTCCATATCGCTGTGTGTCTCTCTCGATTCTCTCTGGCCTGACTTCTGTGCAGAATGCGATCCTCGCCGTGTGCAACTGCTATATTTGCACAACACCCTCCCTGTCACTAACGACCAGCGGCTACAGATAATGAACAGGTGTGCAGTGTGGTTCCAGAAGGCTGTGCCAAGTCAGCAGTCAGGTCGAATGTATGACATGCTGTCATACTTCATTGGTCCAAAGCACACCACTGGCATATCTCTGGTTGATGGTGTGGACGTTCAGGCATTCTGCATCTTCAACCAAGACCATGAACCAGTGAAGACTGATGCGTATCCAGCTGATGTATACAACGGTGTATCAGTAGATATGACTGCAGCTAGACGTCATGGTTTCAGTGTTGTGGCATGTCTGGGTGTGAGTGACACTCAGTTACAACGTCATCCTGTACATACACCTAACGGGTATAACACTCTTGAGGCATCGGCACTCAAATCTCTAGGATGTTATATTATTCCGGTGAGTTGTAGTGCTAGTGTTTTGCCTTTGATCATGATGTCTGTCTTGATACTTCAGTGCAGGTTGGAAAACAAGCTTGTGCGTAATGATAGTTTTGAGTGTATTTACTACATGCTGCTGCCCAAGTCTAGTTGTGAGACATAAAAAATGTTTTATAGTCTCAGACTGTTCACCCATCTGAAGATTGTGTTCAGTGTTAAAAGAGAGTTTTTTTTATCCTGGATGAGCTTAAATTTTGCATTACTTCACTCTTTCTGTCTACTTTGATAGATGGTACTCAAATATGGCGCTCGGCACTCGCAGAAAAGCAGCCACACTATCCCGGATTTGCTGATCAATTATCCGTATCACATCACCGTGTTCAAAGACCTGTTACCCGCCAAGCAGTGATGGATCTACACACTGATGTCATAGTCTACATGATGGTAAGTTACAGAATGTTAGATGTTGTACATATATCTGCCATGGTGTAGTTTAGTGTTTTATTCTTTCAACCTCATTGGGTGCAATGTCTATAACTGATAGCAGAACACTAGTACAGTGTGGTGGATTTGACTTCTTTGATGGGAGTGAGGTGTGCGAGTAGTTGGGCGCATTCTTTCAATCTGACCGAACTAGAAAAGGACATCATCAAGGAATCGATCTGGCTATATCGTGGTGGTGGCCTACCTATGTTGATGAATACAACGGGTAGTGAGACTGATTAGATGACCTGTGGAAGACTATTCCAGGAATTCCAGTGTCATGGGTTGAAGATTACGATCAATGTTAACCTAGAAGTAGTGAACTTCCTCGTTATCACACAAGCAAACCTGTAAACCGGTCAATACGAATCATACCGAAACTGGGCTCCACAACACTATTGTCGTCGGGAAATGGTAATACAGTGCATGCATGCATGCGCACAGTGGTACAACCTGCACAGTCTGGGCGCGGTCCGCTAGCAGGGGAGAACTCCGTGTGCAGCGCAACGCCAAAAGGGACCTGATAAAGATCACAAGGACCACACTACACCTGCATGCCCGGTCTAACTCTCTGCCGGTGATAATAAAAGACCTCCTCAACTAAGGCTCAAGTCTTTTTATCGGAAGAAGAATATCCGATATCTTGGCTGACCATGATGCAGCGGCGTAGCGTAGCCCTTTTCAGTTTGGATGGTCATGTGATGCGACATAGTATACAATTCACACTATTTTCATTTTGCGCCAAGGATACTGGCTCAGCCAACTCCTTTTATTTGGAAGCTTTGCGGTAAACTGCACTCAGAAACGAGTCTGATTCAGCAGACTATACATGCAAGAAAACATGCTTCTTGAATGGCAGGGAGCAGCAAGTTGGGACGAAAGCAGCACAGTGTAGTCACTTCACACCAGGGAGCAGTAAAACACTGGTATTTACTACCCCTTGTTTCACACTCAGCTCCCCTCGCTCCGATCATGCTGGTGTTTTACGGTTTGCAAAGGACGAGGTACTGACAATGGCTGCATGTACAATCATGTTCAAGACTGACATACAGTGTGCCACATACAAACCATTTGAAGTATGAAGGAACTACCCTCCACGTATACAGGTCCAGTCCACGCATCGACACGTGGATGAACGTTGAACGCGGGCACTTCTCGATACTTTTTATCCTGTTTGGGCGTTTTGCGGACATGGTACGACAAACTCTAGCTGCTTGGTTTGCGAGTTTTGCGATACGGTGCTATGCGCATGATGATGTGTTCTAGGAGACAGTATCACCATAAAGGAGTGTGCTGATTAGCAGTGGGTGTTTTGAACCCCTAGAGTTGTGTAGTGGACTATCTATTGAGAATAGAGAGGTTCCGTATAACGTAACAACGTTAATGAAAAACGTAGTCGATCTACGAAAGTCTTACTTCAGTACGTAAACTGCACGCGCATCTGAGTTCCGCCATACGGAGTTTTCAAATCACGAAGCTCCCCTTGGCTACTCCGAACGCGGCAGTGTACGAGCAGATCGACCTGGGGAGAGAGTCATAAATTTGTACCCAAATCCACTTACGAACCAGCTACATTATCAGAACCCTATCTACGTACTCTCCGTAGACAACTTTCCGTAAGTGGAGTGCAAACTCGCGAATTCACGGCTTTTTCCCGCCCACTAACGTAAAGTTGCTCAACTTTACGTAGTGCGGAACCTCTATAATATTGACAAATTCCTTTCTGATAGGTTCCTCGTGACTGGTCTGGGGGCACAGTGGAAACTGTGATTGGTTCACCCACGTTTGTTTGGTATTGCGACTAGTCACAGGGCATTAGTTTTTTTGCTGACGATATGACTGGTTACAGGACCAGTGACTGTTCACAGGGCCTGTACTACTCACAGGGTCTGGACTGGTCACAGGGTCTGGACTGTTCACCGGGCATGCACTGGTCACATGGCCGGGACTGTTCACAGGGCCTGGACTGGTCACAGGGCCTGGACTGGTCACAGGGCCTGGACTGGTCACAGGGCCTGGACTGGTCACAGGGCCTGGACTGGTCACAGGGCCTGGACTGGTCACAGGGCATGGACTGGTCACAGGGCCTGGACTGGTCACGGAGTTCTACACAGAAAACCAGACTTAGATATGCAGAAGTGCACCATATCGCTTACGTAATCTTTGCCGTCTAGAATTTCTTTAAAACTGATATCACAGGTCTGATTGACACAGAGCAAGAGTATAGAAGTGGATCATCCATGACCAATTAAACCGGGAGAATTCTACTGTCCAGAACCCATCCACAGAGTCGCACATTCTGCTTTATGTACTCTTGCCATCGTAACAGTATGGAACAGAGATACATTGTACATGTAGCTAGCCAGGTCGGAAAAAAAACTTGGCAACCACCATGGAGAGTGGAGTGAACTGTGTAATACTTTCCTGATCACAAACAATTGTATTTGCTCTTTGTGTGATTCTTCTGTGTTCTCTCAGATATCTTTGAACAGCAGTATACTATGCCGAGTTGTGCCGTGATATCATGTGAGACTGGAATATGAAGTCCGTTTTGTGATTACTAAGAAAGTTGTGGACATCTCTTTTGGTCTTGTGATTGAAGTTTTCATTTCTCCGATTCTTTGCCACTTTTTCCGCTTAGCTGAACAATGAGGAAGCTGCCTCTTCTTTAATTCCACTCCCGGCTGAGTAACTGAATAACTGAGTAACTGAGTACACCGGATGTGAGAGGGTAGTGCTGCTAGTGCTAGTGTAGTATGCCTGTTGATTGTGTTTTTGAAATCCAGGCATTGTTGAGTTTGTGCGTGAATGTTTGCGTGTCTGTGCATTCAGTTCCCAATTCTTTTTTCTTTGTGCGTGCATATACAGTACAGTGTACCTTGATATTGTGAATCCTCCACATGTGTGTTTTCCGCTTCCATTGTCCATAGTACACGTAGTACATGTAGCATCTGGAGTAGCCAGGATCCTGATTTTTGACTGAGCTACATGTTTAAAACTTAAAAATGGTAGTAGCGTCTGCCGTGATCTGTGTTTGTGTGTGTGTGTTGGGGGGGTTCTGTAAGGCGGCACGGCACGACCATGTGAGATCGGATTATGATCAACCATGTGTGTTGTAGCCCGGAAATGTGGCTTGTTCGTATGAGGATATAGAACTAACATAGACCAATCCTAGCAATGGTCCTGACCAGGCTCTCTTGTTTCGCATCAACAAAATTCACTATAATCTACATGTGCATGTGATGTAGTGTCCAGGATATCACTGCTGCTCGGTTCTGAATAATTTTTCTTTCTTTGATCTCGTATAGAATAATAAGTGGATCTACGGGGGGGGGGGGGGGGTGGTCTATCCGGATGAATACATGTTTAGCGTTATGTCCGGAGTGCGGCTTGTGTTATCTGTTTGGGGTGCTAGGGGTAGCGCCAACTCAGCAGTCAGATAAAATCATGCATGCACCGACTGATATTATGATTGTACGTGCGCTACACTACGGCTACAGACTAGATCTACGGACCGTGTCCAGGTACATACTACTTACTAGTACTACTACTAGGTCACCGTGAGGTTTGACACGTGAGTGATGACGCGTGTGTTATCAAAAGCCTTTTTGAAAAGTTTGGCCATTTGCGCTTAAAAAAAACAAGGACAAAAAAACAAAACAAGATCTTTTAAGATCTTGTTTTGTTTTTTTGTCCTTGTTCTTAAAGGGGAAGTATACCCTAAAATCAAATTTTCACCAGTTGTAGTCTTCTGGGTGCTGAGTCGAATGGTCTTGGTCCGAGGAAGCTGCGACGCTCCCTTCCTACTTGAATCCCAATCGAACTCGCGCACTTCCACCGAAACTGGGTGACTGCGCCCTACTAGATGGGGATTTGTATGCAAAATGTCACTAAAAGCGCCATTTCGTTCTTATAAAAGCACGGATGACCGCGATTGGCCCATATGTTGTAGTCTTTTGGACGCTGAGTCGACTGGTTTTGGTCCGAAAAGGCTGCGATGCAGCGTTCCTCCTTTATTCCCAATCGAACATGGTTGAACAAGCGGTCACGTGCTCCTGGGTGCCCAAATCACCTGGTCACCGCGCCAGCAGGTGACAACTTTCACACCAAGGTTCAACTCGAGTTCAACTCGAGTGACAGGACTGCACCCAAAAAAGGTCAAACAGGCTAGTAAGTTGTACCCTGCAGGCACGGTGACCAGGTGACTGGCGTACGCAGGAGCACGTGACCGCTTGTTCAACCATGTTCGATTGGGAATAAAGGAGGAACGCTGCATCACAGCCTTTTCGGACCAAAACCAGTCGACTCAGCGTCCAAAAGACTACAACATATGGGCCAATCGCGGTCATCCGTGCTTTTATAAGAACGAAATGGCGCTTTTAGTGACATTTTGCATACAAATCCCCATCTAGTAGGGCGCAGTCACCCAGTTTCGGTGGAAGTGCGCGAGTTCGATTGGGATTCAAGTAGGAAGGGAGCGTCGCAGCTTCCTCGGACCAAGACCATTCGACTCAGCACCCAGAAGACTACAACTGGTGAAAATTTGATTTTAGGGTATACTTCCCCTTTAAAAGAAACAACAAGAGCACCTCGATCTCGCCTTCATAATGTTAGATCTACCAGCTAGCGTTAGCGTGTTGTTATGCTAAGGTCAGAAAGGACTTAGTGGCACTCGCTGGTTTATATCATCAGTTGAAGAATATTCCTTATCCTGGTGTCGATCGCTGAGAAGGTGCACTATTGGCTACTGACGTGCATAATAGTTTGTTACATTCACAACAGTGTTGCTGTGGTAATCCGCGCAGTGATCAACATCTCTATTCACTGTGCAACTGTATCATAACGCTATCGAAACTTACTGGGGTAAGAGAATTATGTATGTACGAAAAGGAAGATGAATGTTGAAGAAACAATAGTTGACTGCCGGGCTGAGACCGCTGAGTGCGTTCGAGTTTTCCGGATTTCAATGGGCGCTTTCCATTACACGTTTGCACAATTCTGAAACTGGGTTTTGTACTTCTCGAATGACCAAAATGTGCGAATTCCGGCCATGTAAACGAACGACCAGAATTCACAACGCATTTTATTCATGCCATATGATATCACTAACAAAATTGATCGTAAAAAGAGATCACGTACACCCTCGCGCGCACGTGGACCCAGATTCGCGTACCGGACTACCGGTCCATCCCGGTGATCGTGAAGGTTCCATGTTGGCAACAATATTGGGCTTCGATAAAGCTGAACGCGTGTGCGAAAGGACCACCCAAAATGATCTGCTCTAACAATCAGCCCCCAGTGGAAACTCAACTGCGGCAAATAGCTTTTCGGGAAGACATAAGACAGTAGCAACTACATGCAGTTGTAGCCCTGCTTTCGCGCCACACCGACCAGGGAGGCTCTTCCTTGACCTGAGTCATGCATGACCAGACCGGTAACACACCGAGCGTGCAATTATGGCGCCAGAATTAGAGAAATCCCGCCTTCTCTTCAGAATTGACGGAATTGGATAAATTCAATTCTAACGACGGAATTTGTGGAATCGAACTGTGCGTCAACAATAAACTAATTCTAGAATTGACTGATTTGAGTGTAATTGAACGCGCTCAATGTGGCAATGTCATACTGTGTTGTGTATCGCATATGCATAATCTTACCACCCTATCCGACTTTTCGGCCGAGGAAAAAATCGAGAAGAAGTTTGACAACTCCTAAAACTAGTAGAGAACGAGTACGTGTACATGTTGGTGACTCGTTTACCCATCCTTAGTTAGGCCAAATTGCCAGGGAATTTCGATGTGGTTGACTGAAGTTTGTTTTCAAGTCAAACAACACGTGTACATGTAGTTATAAACTGATTGAAGTGATCTTTTGCATTTTACTGAAAAACCCCAAAAGCAGTTTTACGAATCATGTCTTTCGTGACTGGTCTGATTGAGGCAGTAAGTGTAGGTGACTGAAATCTGGTCAATGTAAGTGAGCTAGTACTGGGCACTGTGCAGCTGTAGACCTTCCAACATTGGGTTGTACACTGCTGTATGGCTGGAAATGTATTGTTCATGATCCCGGAATTCATCATGTCTAGCACTGCGGCTGTAGATATTGTGAACAGTTGCATGTAGTATCTGATCTGTTGTGTATGTGTGTGTGTGTGTGTGTGTGTGTGTATGTGTGTGTGTGTGTGTGTGTGTGTGTGTGTGTATGGGTATGTGTATGTGTGTGTATGTGTATGTGTGTGTGTGTGTATGTGTGTGTGTGTGTGTGTGTGTGTGTTTGTTTGTGGGTGGGTGTGTGTGTGTGTGTGTGTATTTTGCCGCACTGTGTGTTATTCTCTACAGACCGGCAGTACGTAATCTTCTGACAAATTCTCAGTAATCCACACCGTACACTGTACGCTATACACCCGTGTACTACTGAATATACAACATCACCAGGAGAACATGTTTGCTTCAAAGTTACATGGCAATCTCAAGACTGTCAGTAAGTTTGTTCAGCGTGGTTATGCTGTGAGTGTACAGAGCCGGTTAGTCCAGTCAACCAGCGGATCAAGGTTATGTGTTGCTAGTAAGGTGACTCAGACATCAGCACAGTCCAGACAGTCAGTTAGGTGGAGATCAGATCAGTCTGGTCGTCAAGCCACTACGGTACGTGATGCCTATGATGCCATTGAGTCAATTTTTGATAGCATCGTTAAGTCACGCACTTTTCAACCCAGCTATCTACTGTCACAATGTTCTCTCATCCAACGACATGTTACTGAACTACGGAGTTCAGGCATGATTAAGGTTACCCTTCGGGCATGCGCTCTTGTCAATGAGGAGAACACTGATGTCACAAAGCTGACAGCGTCTTTACTTAATCAACTAGCCAGTCTACCTACTGATGTCTGGCAAGACTACAAGAATCAAGGGCACCTGAGATGGGTACTGGACTCCGCTGGAAAGTGTCGATGTTCAACTCCAGGATTCACAAAGTTACTACAACAGCAGCTTGATGTCATGTGCATTGAGGAATGTAGAGCTGTTGATCAGTGTGCATATGCATTGTTTATGTTAAATATGCCTGATCGTCACCTGGCCCAACACTTGATGAATCGCTACATTACCATCCAGAGTACAGGTGATCCAAAGTATCTTCATACTGAAGTACTCTCACTACTTCTCTACTGTACACTGTGTGGTGTAGAGTGCAGTGTCTTGCTGAAGCTGATCAGTGTTGATCATCTGATACAGAGTAAGTCTATTCTGGAATAAGACCTGTTGAATAGAGACGTGTGTCTGTTGGTTGTGGAATTTCTGCTCACACAGAGGTACAAGTGACATTCATACCACAAACCTCTGTAGTAATCGTCCTTGGTGTCTCAGAGTTGAAACCAAGTGTTGTTTTAGACGGAAAGAGAAACGATCTCAGTTTATGGTTTTTGCTACACAATATTCTGCAAGTGCAGATTTGCTTTCACATACATATTATGATGATGTATGTTGTAAACTGATCATAATTCAACTTGGGGTTTTAAAATAAAATCATGATGGCAGGATTATAGGTACTTCGAAGTATGATTTTGAATCATGCAGTTGGACAGTCCGGCTGAAGCCGTTCCAAACTTGTGTTAGTATTTTAGCAATCAACTACATTCTAGTGATATGGGTGAGGCATCCTTCAACTATACAGTACAATTGGAAGTTTTGAGCACACCTGCTCTATTCCTCGGCACTGCAAAATGACACCTCAGTCCACTGTATCAGTTTCGACATTTACACAAATTGCTATCACCAGAAAGCAGTACAATGTGCACTGTGGGATATGCATCCTGATGATGTTTGGAAACAGGACAGACAGTATGTACATGTGTGTACTTCAAGAAGTATGTGCACCAAATTTGTAACTCACATACCAACAAAAATTCATCCAGTATTGTTCCCCTAACTGTGTCTGTTTTATAGGAAGTAGGCTGTTGGCGTGGAAATGACAAATGGATC